GTCAACTTTTGTATCTATTCTTTGGAGTTTAGTGAATAACCCTAAGTGTCCCCCCCCCTCGGAATTCCTACCACCATCTCCTCTTTGGTCACTATCATCACCCCACAGTGTGTGTAGCAGTGTGTGGATGGTATGAGTGCTAGCGCCTGCATGCAGCAGTCCTGGTTTCACGGTCCTGTCCTGCTATCCTGACTGTTTCCTAATGTCCCCACAAGTTAGACACCAGACAATGAACCTTAAAAAACAAAGTACAATCAGATCGTTAGATGCACTTGCGCTAAGCTCAGGGCAAAAGACCCTGCCAAGAATGCTTTAACAGCGCTCCCTACATTGTCTGCCTTTGATGAGCCAGCACTGCCAGCCTGACCTGCCATTTCTTTGGGCACTCACAATCTTTCTGGGCAAATACACCCACTTTTGTCCCACTTCAAGGGGCACTGGTCCTACGGGTGTGTGGTAATGTGTGTGCTGGCTGTTTGTAATATGGGGCGTTGTGGTGTGTGCTCAAACTGAGTAACAGATGTGTACTGTCTAATCTATGTGGATGGTGTGCACGCACTATGTTACGAGCGCTGCAGCAGGGAGGCAGAGTATGGACCCTGGTAATCCACCGGGGAAGTGTCTGATCTACAATTGTGGCAGGTGTAGAAAACCGTAATACCTCCATCACAGTTCTAGAACTGGACTAAAGTGGTAGCCAAAGCTAATTGTCATGACCGACAAAATAATTTTAATTAGAAAGACTATAGCCACTACACAGAGTGTCTTCCCTTTCTGTCCTCCCCCATAGTGTGCTAGCAGTGTATAGTGTGCATGCGTGCTGGCTGCGTTTAGTATATGTATTGTGAGTTTAACCCTTTAAGGACCAAACTTCTGGAATAAAAGGGAATCATGACATGTCACACGTCATGTGTCCTTAAGGGGTTAATGTGTGTGTGGGTGTGTTGGCTGTGTGTAAGGGTGCCATCCTCTCCTGCTAATCTTTCTGCGGGGAGATGGGATATGATTCCTGGTGGTCCAGCAGGAGCCTAGGCCCTGTGTACTGGAGTTGCATGAGGGTACTGCACTCACAATTAGGATGTGACACTTAAAAAAAAAAAAAATGTAAGAGAAGGAGTAAGCATTAGAACTGAATAGAAAGCAGGACAACAAGCAGCCACTAGATTGAAATTTATTCTGCTAAGATGCAGCAGGAAGACTGTCTGGTGCTTTCTAAAAGGTGGGTAACCACTGAGTTCAATTTAAAAAGGGAGTGGGCCCAATAATCCATATCTATTTAGGAGCATCTCATGTGTTCCTTGAAAGATAAAATGGTTTCACATAGTGGCTTTATTTATTTTAAAAAGCAGCACAACCAAACAGGTAACTAAATACTAGCTAGTGGTTGTTTTAAATTAATTTTGAAATTTCTAATAGATTTTTATATTTTTTTATTATTTAAAATCGTTAATCCTGCAGTGCCATACGCGTGTATGCCCCTCTGGAGAAAATGCAGAGTGTGTATGTGCACTTATGGAATTTATACTTGAGATGCCTGAGCGCACAAATGCACCCAAGGTATTCAGGAGAGGCAAAGTCACCCCAACATGAAAGCGCAGATTAGGTTCAGGTTTTATTTTATTTAACTTATATCTGTTAGGTTATCCCACCACACACAAATAAACACATAAATCAAACACGTTTGAGTGTTCAGTTAAAAATGCTGACCATTACACAAAATAATTTAAACAATAATACACAACATATCACAAATGTGATATTTTTAAGTCAGTACCATTCAGGTTTTAGTTAGGAACTTTTAAATATGATAGCTACATTTAAAAAAGGTAAATGAAAACATAGCTTCTTCTACAACAATTTAAAGAGTTCTGGCTCAAATGTTAGAAATGTGATGTCCATTTCAACTGGTTCACAAAATTGTTTACAGGTCGGTTTGAGTATATTCAGCTGGTAATTGGAAATTTTATATATTCCTTTTTATATGCTTTTTTGTGTTGATTTTTTTGCCCCCTTTCTTTTTCTAATTTACTAATTGAAAAGGAGAATGAGAATATCTTTGTTTCTCACATGACAATTTTGTATTTAGAAAGCTAAAGTTATTATATTAATATATCATTCCTTGGACGCAATCAAATATATTTTGGAAATATATTTGATATTAAAGTAAAATGTATTTTATTAGCTCTTTACCACAGTAAGAGCTTAAAAAAGCATTGAATGCAGTGAGTGAAGTTACAGTTCCTCTTTTAGTAACTGCAGAAATGTTTTCCTTGCACTTGTAAAGACTGAGGAAGTGCCTTGAATCATGAGCTGCACAAGGAATCTCTTTATATTGAGCTTTCCCATTGATTTTCCCAGGCTTTAACACGTATGAACATTTTGTGAATGAACTAGTAATGTATTGTTAAAGGCATGCTTTCAGATTCCCACCAGGGATTCAGTAATTTCTTTTTATTCTCTATGCGACTAGGAGTATCTGTGCCCGCAGCCTCTCAATTTCATAGTTGATTCTGGGGATAAGACCCAATTATCATTTTCAGATTACCAGTTGTTGCTAAATTAGATTATTTGTTTTTGGACAAACTATGTGTCCCTTATATGTAAAGGCACTTTAGGACCATGAGCACTCATCTCCATTGAAAAAGATAGATATAGAGTATCTAACCAAAGATATGCACCTTAATCTATCCACCCACCCACCCAATATGAGACCTGGACCAGTCCTCTCCACCCACGTACCAGAGACGAATCTGGGGGGATGCTCTCCCCTGCTGGGTGCCTTCACTGACCAGTGAGGAAGATCAGAGATCTCCCTCACCGTCCACAGACACATTGCTGGCAGGGAAGGGGAGACCTGTGAGCTCTAGCTTGCAGCTCCGCTGTGTCTCCTCTCGCAACCACGGAGCACTGCCGCAGTTACCATGGCAAGTGGTTCACTCCCAACTAGAACCGCCAGGGATTCTCCACCGGACCACCTGGGCTTCGCAATCGATATCCCCCTCCCTGGACAAAGGTAAGAAGGGATAAAAAGCATAATTTTTTTAATTACAAAAACACTTATTTGTTTTAATCAGCCCTCTCCCCCAACTACACGCACACTGCCTCCCATACACACACATTGCCCACTCTCACAAACACATTACTAGAGGCCCTATCCCCTACTACAGCCCCTATCCTGGCAGACCCCAGGTAAATTGTCAAACTGTTCTTAAACAGTTTGACTATATACCCTGGGAGGGCGCCACAGCACTCCTAGCACCATAACCACTTCAGAAAGCGGTTGTGGTTATTGTGTCTGGATTGTTTCTTTACATAATCTATGAGTGCCCCTCCCGAGATAAAGCTCTGGATCCGCCCCTGCCAGATGCGAGACCCAGATAAGCCCTCTCCATCCACACAGGACCTGCACAAAATCTCTCTATACATCCACACACCTGAAACCCAGACAAGCTTTCTCCATCCATTGGACACCTAGACAAGCCCTTCCCATACATCCACCCACCCCAAGCGAGACCTGGATAAGCCCTCTCCACACACCTACCCAAACCAAACCTAGACACTCCCTCTCTCCATCAATACATGTATGCGAGACGTGGACAAGCCCCTTCTCCAATTACACTCACGCACTTGACTTTCCTTTTACGCCACCTGGTTCACCCACTTTTTCTCCCCTATCCCACCACACCTCTCTACGCTTGTTTTATTTACCTACATGTGAATATTATCCTTTATTCCCACTTATTGCCACCTTGTTTTTCCCCTATGTTGTGAACCAATATTTAGAGTCTGGTCTCCACGCCATATATTTCCCATTCAAGACACCTCCATTCACCAGCTTATCATATCATAGACACAAGACAAGCCCCCTAAAAGCTTGCAAAAGATGTGTGCTGATCCGCTGCTCCAACTTCTCATTGAATGGTGTGAACACTATTGCCCACTCAATGATATACCCCCTCTCTGTTTTCCAGACTAATGTGTTAGACCACAAAGATATTTGATATTAGTCTGGTTTTCAAGCATGCTCATTGTTATTCCCCCTCCCCCTCCATCTCCATATTGGGGAATAGTACCATTCATTGCTATAGACAGGACAGAGCCGGCCCCCAGGCCTGTCACTAGGATAAAACAATGATGGCTCACACTGGCAAACCCAGCTAATTCTGAACTACATTTCCCATGATGCTCAGCCACTATATATATATATATATATATATATATTCAGAACCCCCCCCCCCCCGATCTATGCCTGTTCTCCTGTCCCATACTATGGCTATCACTATCCCCCCCCTTCTCCCCGGTGCACCCGCACATGGCTCTCACCAGGATCCTTTTAAAGAGCGCGTTCTCTTTGGGCGGGAGGCTGACGCTCGGCATCTCGAGGCCGCTCCTCGCGCCGCCTGCACGAGCTCCTTGTTGTTCCCTGGCGCCGCCCGCGTGCTGTGCTCCGGTGATCTCGCGCCGCTGGGAAGCTGTCCGCCGGTTACAGCTGACTATCTCCGCCGGTGGCCAGGCTGACAGCACGGACCGCGGGAGCGCTCACTAGGCCTTCCTCCTCACCTGCCCTGTCTGGGCCCTGGCCGGGCACTTCACGTGGTAATGTAACAGACCCGACAAGAGGCAGAGGCCAAAATGGCGGAAGGAGGAGGGACGGCTTCCAGGGTCACGGCATGATGAGCGCCTGCGCTGTGACCCCGAGCTGGACCGCTTCCGCCCTCACCGAGCACCGCCCATCCATCCAACCGGCCTGGGAGCGGTACCGCGCTGGGTATATCGCCCGCAGGCCGCCATGTAGGAGGAGGGAGCATTGCTGTGGGTCCGGTGTGTCGGGCTGTCTATATAGGGCAGCACTTAGTGAAGGGAGAGGACTGGCTGCATGTGTACAGTGAGCATTGAGCTAGCGATCCATCCATAGAATTTAGAATGCTGTGTAAAGATTCTTTATGTGGAAGGTTCGGTCTAAGCACCAGACCTCACACATAGAGCCACTGGTGACTAGAGGTATTTCCTCCTTAAAGGAACACTGTCACCTCAACATTATCAATAAGATTATTCAGCCATTTACATGCATCTTGGGTCAGACAGTGGTTGAGTTTGAAAGTTATTCGATCTGATTGTTTTTCTGCACTGTGTAGGGAGTGAAGCTGGGAATACCGTAGAGACTATACAGAGATTTTCAAATACGGATAATCCATATAAAAAGTATGTTGAGGTGACAGTCGTTCCTTAATACCTTCACTTTGTGTCAAAATGCCAATTAATGCCACTATTAGAGATGTGGTTTGGTGGACAGCCGTGATTGCCATGCATGCTCTTTATGTCCTCAATACAAAAAAATCATATCTGATTTATTGGAAGGAGAGGCAGCTGCAGAGGGGGAAATTACAGATGTTTTATAGCCTTTCTCCACCCGCCTATCTATTCTCTAATACTGTAGCTTTAAAAATATATATGAAAGCACCATCTAGAATGGATATTTGTCTGAGTCTGGTAATATTGAATAATCTTAAAGGGACACTCATTAAAGTTGTCTGGGTACAATGTCCCTATTGCACTTATTGCTGCAATGTTAAACGTTCCAGAGAAACTGCAATGTTTATATTTGCAGCACTAAGTCTGTTTCCAGTGGCTGTCTCCCAGACAGCCACTGGAGGCGCTTCCTTGATCCTAACGGACCTTTGGTTTGGTAACTAACTTGCTTCAGTGCTATCCTATGGGGAGGTCTAACGCAAGCGCTCATCTTGGGGCATCAGATGAGGTGGACCCACGACTCAGCGCTGAGGGACATCAGTGCTGGGGTGAGGTAAGTAAAGGGTTTTTTTGACTGCGAGGCAGAGGATGCTGAAATGCCTGGAATAAAGGTTTTTATTCCTGGCACATATAGTATGCCTTTAACCTTTTGCAAAAATCCAGGAAAGAGTGCACTCGGGAAATAGTGATCATAATATGCTGTTTGTAATCAATTAAAAAAAGCTAATTCATATTGTCAGTTTTTTTTTTTTATTCTTTATGTCGGTTCACAGAAAAAAGAGAAAACCTTTCAGGATACATAAGTGGTTGTTCACAGGCTTTTTTCACAACAGTCAACCGTGCAATAAGCATACATTTTATGAACTGACTTTTTTTTTTGGTTTGTTTTATGATGCAGAAGCTGAATTGACAACAGTAAAACTAGATATTCATACTAAAATTATAAGCTACTAGGGTCATCCCAGGTCGTTTCCCTATGTGCGGTCATTACATGGGTCTCAGATGGTGAATTGGGAGGACCTGGTCTTCATTGCAGTGTGGTTAGTAGAATGTTAGGTTTAACACCTTTTGATGAGCGTGTATTACCATAATATCTCCATGATGTTTAATATGGGGGGGGGTGTCTATCTTTGGTTAGGTGTTCCCTCAAGCGGAGGGTGGTCAGTGCAAAGGTATAATGTTACCTACAATTACACTAGAAAATAATGAAAAAATATGCATTAAAATAACTGAAAACGGATAACTGAGCACTAAACAGGAGAAATAATAATGATATTGAACCCTGATGTGGTCACCGGTTCACTTGGTTGTTCAGGTAATGTTCGCTGCTGCTTCGGTAAATAGACGCCGCAGGAGGTGAGGTATTTCTGCTGCCGGTACATCATCTTTGATGCGTCTTATTTTCATTTTTGTTCTTCGCCTTTGTGTCTTCCAGCGCAGCAAAGCGTTGGTCATATGTGTTCTGCTTGTGCAGATTCTCAATCTCCCATTGTAGGGAGGTAATTTGTTTTGCTTGCTCTCTAGTAGTTCCCTCCAGGGTGCCCATCCTGTCAGATAGGCCTCTAATGTGTCAGGTGTTTTAAGTAGAATAACACGTATAACAAATAATCAGTAGACTTAAAGGATCATTAAAGGTTCAGGAACACAAACATGTATTGCTGACCCCATAGTGTTAAAACCACCATCCAGCCCCCCTGGGCCACTCATGCTTTCATACATATAGTACAAATCTTACTGTATTCAAGCCTGAAGCTGTAACTCTGCATGCTGTTAGACTCAGAAAAACAAGCAGTCTGCTGACATCATCAGAAGTGGTAGAATGATCCAATCACAATGCTTCCCCATAGGATTGGCTGAGACTGACAAAGAGGCAGATCAGGGGCATGATTCAAACACAGCCCTGGCCAATCAGTATCTTCTCATAGAGATGAATTGAATCAATGCATCTCTATGAGGAAAGTTCAGTGTCTGCATGCAGAGGGAGGAGATACTGAATGTTTGGATGCATTTTAGGCAGCCATGACTCAGGAAGGATCTCTAACAGCTATCTGAGGAGTGGCCAGTGATGTTATCACTAGGCTTTAATGTAAACACTGCATTTTCTCTGAATGATTCTACTCACCAGAACAAATTCAATAAGCTGTAGTTGTTCTGGTGACTATAGTGTCCCTTTAATTATGGCAGATATTCTAGAATCATTTAAAAAAAAATATATATATAAATACATGTATTATAAATATTATTTCTCATTTCACAAAGACAATTCCTTGAATTTATTGTTTTTAGATTCTATGGTCTTGTTTTTGTTCTCAGACCTTGTTGGTTTTATTTTGTTCCCAATTAACCACAATTGCGTAGGACATTGCAAACAAGTGATTAGCGGATTTATTAGTCATACTATTTTATTATAATGTTAGAGAACCATAAAGTGGTCATTGTTGGTAATTTGTTATATATACTTATTTATTGTTAATATTATATTGTACCAGATGTCCATTTTTTGGACATATGGTAATTAGTACTTGCCCAAATCCACCTATAAGGACATTGGTCTTGTTATAAAAGTTTTAGTCCTCCATGGTACTTGGAGAGGACTGCAGGTCAGCTCCTTCCCACAGACTATGGGCTGTGGGCTGGAGTGGGGTTATGCTTTGGGGAGGCAGGTACACGGAGGTCAGTCGGACGGCTTCCCCTCCTACGTTGCCTTTGAGATAGAAGTCCAGGAAAGAAAATTGCCGTAAGACGTCACACCATTGGTGTCCTCCGAAAGGGAAGGGGTATGACCAGTGTTTTATTTTTAGTAGGCACCTTTAAAACCTGGCCAAACAAAGCGTTCATATTTTGTGTGTGTATTTTACACACAAACATAGCATTTTCACTATTATCATCATCCTTGTGTGTTTTACTGTCATAAGACACCCACATTTCTGTTCAGCGATGTCCCATGCTTACAACAATACTCACCATATACAGGTTTTATGGGGTTTATGAAAGTTACCAGCCCCGCTCCTTTCAATCTTAAAACATGGAAGTTTAGCATATTGATTTTCTGGGCATACATTGACTGGGAAATAAAATGTCTATTATAGTATACCATTTTCAAAAGTAGACAATTTAAGGTATTCGAAATGGTGTATTTTGATTTGTGTTGTCTAGTCACTTTATCATTTAGTGGGATTACTTTAATTTGGTTTTTTTTTATACAGATGAATTCCATTTTCAAAGTAAGTTTCATAATCCTGATATGTATCCGTGCAATAAAGCCACAATATTTTTATTTAACATCGTCTCATGACTACAAAAGCCTTAACACTTTATGCACTTCACCAATACCATCTAGTTCCACCCTAAAAACTATCATAAGTACAACTGATGTCCTACATCAAGACAGTGATTTTAAAGTGTTGTTTTCCTCTAGAAAAACGTGTGCATTGCTGAGTTATTTATGAAGTGTAAGGAGAGGTTATAGCATTAACGTTCATAAACTTTGTGAGAGACACTTATGCCTTCCAGGTATATAAAGGTTAGAGTTATTACTCTAACTTACCTGCTTGCCCATACTTTCTGGAGATCAGTGGTAATATAGTTTCCGATGTCATGAAACCCCTCCTTAACTATGGCTATGTTTATAATCATCACTTCAGCATGTCTTCTTTTGAATTTCTTTTATAGCCCGCATATGGTGTCATGCAAGACAATGCGACATAATCACAAACTGTTCCCAAAGCTATTGACACCTGGGGCAATCTCAACTTTGCATCAGGAGCAGCAGCTGATAGTTCTGCATAGTGACAAGAAAGAAGGATATATGTTAACCACCATCCATATCAAAAGCATGATGTCTATCCTTGTCTGTTGAACAGTTGGGGAAGCCTGGAAGCCAGTATCTACAACAAGCACATTGGACTGTGTGTATAGCAGATTAGTTTCTGCTGTCATATTTGATCGGGTGTGGTATAAAAAGCTTGAATTACCATTATACATGAGGAAGAGCCTAGGCAATTTAGAAACAAACAAAAACAGAACATACTAACAGTGGACAACAGCGAAAGCTTGCCCTTTGGACATGGTCCCATGCTCACTATACCTTGAAGCGTATCAGCCACATCTCAGTGGTGAGGCCTGCCAAGGCTGACATGACTAGCTAGAGGAGGAGCCTGCCTGTATTTTGGATTTGGACTACTATTTAGTGTGGGATCAATCTGATATGCAAATAGTTTATGTTCTCTCTGTAATTTATTTATTATTGCCTTTTATATAGTGCCAATAGATGCTGTAGCGCTTTACAATATTATGAGAAGGGTGATTTAACTATAAATAGGACAATTACAAGAAAACTTACAGGAACGATAGGTTGAAGAGGATCCTGCTCAAACAAGCTTACAGTCTATAGGAGGTGGGTATAAAACACATTAGGACAGGAAATAGCAATCAAATAAGGTGGGAGTAAAGCAGATCTGGAGGAGAGAGTAGAGTGCTGCCCCTTAGGAGACAGCAAGAGATGGGTATGTAAGGTAGAGGTTACTCTGGACGACCATAAGCTTTCCTAAAGAGAGGGGTTTTAAGGTGTTTCTTAAACAATTGAAGACTAGGGAAGAGTGATGGCGGTAGGCAGGCTATTCCATAGGAAGGGAGCCGCCCGCGAGAAGTCCTGCAAGCTTGAGTTGGCCACAACGGACAGGAGAAGGGAGCCGCCGAGCGGAGAGACCAAGAAGGAGCATACCTATGGATCCGTGATAAGATACAAGAGGGGCTAGAATTTTTCAATGCTTTATAGGTATGGGTTAGTACTTTGAATTGACTCCTATAGGATACAGGAAGCCAATGTAAGGACTGACAGAGGGGTGCGATGTGAGAGGACCGACTAGAGAGGAAAATCAGTCTGCCGGCAGCATTCATTACAGACTAAAGCGAGGCAATACGGATTTTGGGTAGACCAATTAGGAGAGGGTTACAATAATCCATGCGGGAAATTACTAGAGCATGGACAAGCTTACTAGTAGCATCTTACGTAAGAAAGAGGCAGATGTGGGCTATGTTTTTAAGATGGAATCTATAGGATTTGGCAACATACTGGATTTGAGGCTCAAAGGTGAGGCCAGAATAAAGTATGACACCTAGAAATCGAGCTTGCAAGGATGGACTTATGTGGATACCATTAACCTGAAGGGAGAGCAAAAGAGGAGGATCGGTATTAGGAGGAGGAAAGACAAGGAGCTCAGTTTTAGAGAGATTGCGTGTCAGTAAGCGGGAGGACATCCAATCGGAGATGGAAGAAAGGCTAGCAGTGACACGTTGCAGGACAACAGGGGAAAGGTGCGGGGAGGAGAGATATCTGGGTGTCGTCTGCGTACAGGCGGTAGTGGAAATCAAATGAAGTAATAAGTTTGCCAAGAGAGGCAGTATAAAGAGAAAATAGAAGAGGACCAAGGACCTTGGGGGACTCCAACTGAGACAGGGGGAGGGGAGGAGTTATCATTAGAAAATGAGACACTGAATGAGCTTTGGGAGAGATAAGAGGAAAACCATGAGAGGACAGAGTTACAGAGACCGAGTGATTGAGTTTGAAAGAGAGCATGATCAACAGTGTCAAAGGCAGCAGAGAGGTTAAGAAGAATTAATATAGAGTAGTGCCCTTTGGATTTAGCTACGATTAGGGCGTTAGTAACTTTGATAAGAGCAGTCTCAGTAGAGTGGAGAGGGCGGAAGCCAGATTGAAGAGGCTTTGACGAAAAAGGGAGCAGGGATATTTTACATTAGTTAGAGGGGGGTGGATGGGTCAGGATAGGTACTAAAGTGGCATGTTTAAGGTCAGCAGGGACAATACCAGAAGAGAGAGCAGTTGAAGATGTGTGTTTAGGCAATGACACAGGTTGAGCTAAAATTAGCTTGAGAATCTGAAAATACACTGGAGTATAAATTACTTGAGTTATTGTAATTTTTCAGTGTTCTCTTTCACTCTTTTTTTTTTTTTGCCTGTGTGATGTAGCCATGGTTGCCGTGTTGATAGTCCAGGGTATACAATGGAAATAGTTATTTCCAGTTAGGACTGCTATATTGTTGAAAATATGACATGGCCTCAGTAAATCAATGAAGTCTGAGCTTAATTTACAAATTTAAACTCATAACCACAATAATTGTGAAAAGGCCTGCATAGGGTGTATAGTTATTTTCTGGGGTGGGGGACTAGAAAAATATAAATCTTAGTAGACACAACATGACTGATATTCACCATGAAAATGTGATGATAAAAATATATTGGTATCTTCCTCGGAAATTGGTGCTGAAATGGACAAGCGTTAAAGCTAGAAATAAAGAAGGAAAGAAAATGAAAATAGCTCTATAAAGGCATTCAAAGGAGTGTAGTAAAAATGGGTAAAAACACAATATCTCCTTTGAAGTGCAAATAGTGCAAATATATATCGAAATGTATAAATACACTGTAACTTAAAGATGCTGCTACACACTTAAATGCTGTGCCTCCAACTGACAATTCCAGCACATTAAAATACAATGTAAACAGATAAAGGGTATATAAGTGGAGTGCATAACATAAGTGACCAAAAATTGAACCGTAATAGAATGTACTTGTATTATTGATGGACTCTCAGGAGAGGATCATTCCATACATAGAGAGAGAACACAAAATCCCATAATGGTGCAGTATATCAAAGTAGTCTAATGCATATGTATAAAAAGATGTATAGTTGATATGATAAAATATAACAATTTATTGTAACACAGTAACACTATGTTATCAGCGTCTGTGGAGGTTTACACAGGTAGAAATCCCTGGTTGCTTTGCTTGGTTTTCTCACTTCTTCGCCGTCTGAACAACAGTCTCGCCAAACAGTATCAGCTGGAAATTCAAAGAGTTAAAGCTGCCGCCCACCTGACTTCAATGCGTGGTTATGACTACGCGTTTCACCTTACAGCTTTCTCAGGACGTGGAGTGCATTTCGGCCATCTTTCGAAGGGGAGAATTTAAGGCAATCATAGGTCCACCCACAGCAGTCACTATTGGCTGTAAGTTTTGAGTCCTTAATTTGCATATATTACGGCCGAGATCACATAAAAAACAACTATACATCAAAACTAGCTATTAATATACAATCATTCAATAATAAAAAGCTTATGCATTCAGCATTAACCCCTTAGTGACCAGGCCGTTTTTCAAAATTCTTGCTGCTGGGACCAAGGCTCTTTTTACATTTCTGTGGTGTTTGTGTTTAGCTGTAACTTTCCTCTTACTCATTTACTGTACACACAATTATTATAAACTGTCTTTATCACCATTAAATGGTCTTTCTAAAGATACCATTACTTTCATCATATCATATAATTTACTATTAAAAAAAATTGTAAAATATGATGAAAAAATTTAAAAAAACACACATTTTCAAACTTTGACCACTAAAATCTGTTGCGCATCTACAACTGACAAAAAACACCCGTGCTAAATAGTTTCTAAATTTTGTCCTGAGTTTAGAAATGCCCAATGTTAGCATGTTCTTAGCTTTTTTTGGAAAGTTATAGGGCTATAAGCACACGTAGCACTTTGCTATTTCAAAACCAATTTTTTTCAAAATTAACGCAAGTTACATTGTAACACTGATATCTGTCAGGAATCCCCAAATAACCCTTCACATGTATATATTTTTTAAAATAAGACAACCGGCCTAAGGTATTAAACCTGGGGTATTTTGAATCTTTTCATGCAGCCATTTTACCACCAATCTATGCCAAATTAAAAAAATAATAATAATAATTGGTGATATTTTTTTTGAGACACAGCAATTTTAGAATATATATACTGAGAACTTTAAGGGTTACTGCCAAAGAACACCCCAATATGTGTTGAGCATCATCTCCTCAGTACAGGGATACAACCCATTCATGGTGGGTCTTAAAGTGGTTGGAGACACTATGGGTCTCCAATCCTTTTTTAATGTTTTGAATATGTTCTGAGACCCTTATGTGCAAACATCTTATAGTTTTGCCTATATAAAGCAGATTACAAGGGCATTTTAACACATAAATAACTCCCTTTGAAAAACCTGTTAATCGGTCTCTAATAGTGTAGTCCTGATTAATGTGTTAATGTTAGTTAAATGCCTTTTTTTACTTTTAGTGGATCTGCACGCCAGGCAGGTGCCACTGCCATAAAAACCTCCTTTCTGGCTAAAGTTAGCATTTTTCTTTGTTTTTTGCATTTTTTTTACACAAAACTGCACTTGTGATTTCATCATCGGAAAACGTTTTACTGATTTAGAACACTCATATTTGTGTTCAACGAAGTCTCCTGAGTATAACAAAAGTCCTGTTATAAAAGGGAAATATATGGTTACATTTTGTCTGTTTTACAATGTTTCCAGCATTTATGGCCAAAGTCACTCTGTTCCCAATCAAGGGACAGACAACAAGACCAGGACAGCCTGTTCTAAGCGCATGCGCCAGTATCTCCCTGACAACGGGGGGCCGCTGGCACTTGGAATGCAATTCGGAAGGTGAATTACAGACGCTTAAGCATCATGATCACCATGGTAGCAAGAGGACATCAGCTTGATTAATTAATTGTTAGTGTTCATTTTTTTTTTTATTATTTAAAAAATTTGTTGGCTTTAGATGCTCTTCCTTTACTAAGTGGCTACTAAGAAACACTGGACATACCCCACTTGCAATACCCTGGGTTGTCCACTTTTGCAAATGGTATGCCATCATGGGGGTAATTCTCATTCCTGGGC